TTTAGATTTCTGGTTTGGTTTAGAGAGTGCAAATGGGAATAACCAGGTTGATGTTAGGATCTGGTGGTCACTATTTGAAGTTTTCAATATTTAACAATTATAGTAAAATAATATAAAAAAGAGCTAATATCACATTATAATAATTGTATATTATTTAATTTTCATTTACTGATTCATCACTATTGCTATTAGTTGATGATTTAATACTATTCTTTATTCTAACTTTATCTATTTTATTTGTTTCATTTATAGTAAATTCTATCTCTTTTTCTTTTCTAAATATTTCATATTTTTTAGACTCTTCAATATAACATGGTGCAATAATATCTGATATAAACAAACCTTTCAACTTCTATTTAGCTGATTGATTATTAGCTAGATAAATTGTATTAAATATAATTTGATTTGTAGTAAAATCATTTGTTTATCTGAGTTATCATTATACTATAAACTTGAATTTTCATCATCTTCTACTATTGAAAGCCAAGTTTCTAGTATATCAAATCACTTTCTTACATTTGAAATATAATCTTTACTTAATTCGCTATTTAATTTGTTGTCTTTTTCTAATTTATTATTCTAATATAATGGGGATGCAATATTTTTTTAATCTTCAAAGGTAAGGCTATGGAGATATAATATTAGAATTCTCAAATGTTATATCAATTTAAATTTTTTTAATTCAGTTTTTATAAAGCATTAAAACATGCAACTTGCTCATATTAAAAACTTCTTTTGCTATAAATTGAAGTTAACTTACATGATAATATTAGTTAAAATATATTTCAAAATCTTGAAAATTTATTATAATTTACAAAATTTGTAATAATTATTTAGTTAAATATTAATAATAATTATCTAAACAATTATTATATTGATAATTTTAATTTAGAATAGGAATAAGCAATTAAAAAAATATATTACTATATTTTTGTATAATAATGTCTATGAGTGTTTTTTTGAATTTTGGCCAGAATTAAGCTTAATTTAGGCCAAAATTTAAAATTACACCCTTGCATGTTATTATATGAAAATATAGTATTATTATAATTATCAAATTATTAGATCTTTTAAACTTTAAATTCTCAAGATTTTATAATAAATCAAATAATAAATATATATTTAATATTTACACTTAACTAATTTTATTTTTTGGTATAAAAAAAGCCAATAAATGAAAATAATCTCTTAACTGATGCTCTATTAACAAGTATACTATGAAGTTTTTTAACTACAGAGAAGAGCTCTGTTTGAATTTCGTTACAAGATTTCTAATATTTTAATAGATTATCTTCAAATTGATTCTAATTATTCATTGTAAAAGAAAATATTTCATCACAATAATCTTGTAACTTAGCATAATTTTTTAGAAGATTTCTAAAACAAGTATATGTGCCAAATTTCGGATAACTGTCAGATTGGCCCCGAATTGGCCTCAGATCAATCCAAATTTCAGATTCAGATCAGATTCAGATCAATTCTGGATAAATTAGGATTTTTAATCTGATTTCAAACACAGTATAATAGTGTAGTTAGGTCTAGTTGAATATATATATTTTTTTTTTTGAATGTTAATGGTGAGACCATGTCTCTGTCTTTATTAAAATTTAATTTAACTCTCATACAAAGC